TATCTGACCCAAAATGATCCTGTAGAGCAGTGGTTCTCAACCTTCCTAATGCTGCAACCCTTTAATACCGTTCCTCATGTTGTGGTGACCCCCAATCGTTGCTACTTCATAACTGTAATTTTGCTACTGTTATGAATCGGGCAACCCCTATGAAAGGGTCACTTGAGCCCCAAAGGGGTCACAACCCACAGGTTGAGAACTGCGGCTGCATAGGATTTCCAAGGCTTTGTAAATTGTCCTGAGCAGACAAACCCCATCTTTCTCCCACAGAGCGACTGGTGGGTTTGAACCACTGACTTTGTGGTTAGCAATCCCGTGCTTATCCAGCATTGGCAGGGCTGTGCTAATAGCTTCCAACTTGGTTTTTTGCCTGCCCCTTCACCCACTTCTGTCCATTCTCACCCCAGAACAAAGCTGAGCGTGTCTCTATTTAACGTGTATCTGATCTGTGCTCCCACATTGGATAGAAGGAGAAAGTTCACTTCCCCACAAACACCCATGTAAACCCAGACAGAAATTTTAGGTTGTTGTTCGGTGCTGCTCAGGCCGTCTGACTGGTAATGACCTTGTGCACCACAGAGGAAGCATCTCTCAGTCCGGTGCCATCCTCACAGTTGTTCTTCTACCTGAGCCCATCAGTGCAGCTCTGTGTCCATCCATCATGCCGAGGGCCTTTCTCTTTTTCATTGCCTCTCTGTTTCACCATGCACACTGCCCTCCTCCTGATGCTGGTCTCTCCTGACAACCCGTCCATAGGACCTGAGATGAAGTCTTGTCATCTTTGCCTCTGAGCAGCGTTCTGGCTGTACTTCTTCCAAAATAGTTTTGGTTGCTCTCTTGGCAGTCTACTTTCATTATTCTTCAATCTCTCCATTCTTCCTTGGCCTTCCTTATTCAACATCCAACTTTCACATGCCTAATGAGGACATTGAAAATACCCTGGCTTGGGTCAGGCTCACCTTAGTCCTCAAAGCAGCACCTTTGTTTTCCAATACTTTAAAGCTGTATTGTGCAGCAGATTTGCCCAGTGCAATGCATCATTTGATCTCTTGACTGCTGCTTCCATGTGTATTGATTGTAGACCCAAGCGAGACAAAATCCTTGGCAAAGTCAGCTTTTTCTCCATGTATCATGATGTTACCTATTGGTCCAATGGTCCAATGGTGAGAATTTGGTCTTTACATTGCGGTGTAATCCATTCTGAAGGCTGCGCGTGCTTCAAGTCCTCCTCACTTTCAGCAAGCAAGCTTGTGTGTCCTCTGGGGTCCTGTTGCCCTCCGTGTTCTTCTCCGCATAATCCAGCTTCTCTCCCTCGTCGCTCAGCATGCAGTTTGAATATGTACAGTGAGAGGATATAACCCTGGCACCCATCTTGCTTTATTTTCAATCGTGCAATGTTCTCTCATTCTGTTCAAACAATTGTCTCTTGATCAATGCACAGGTTCCACATGAGCACGATGAATTGTTCTGCAATTCCCACTCTTCGCAAGGATCTTCTAGTTTGTTGTGGTCCCCACGGTTGAATACCTTTGCATAGTCAATAAAACACAAGTAAGCATCTTTCTGGTGTATTCTCTGCTTTGAGCCAAGATCCATCTGACATCAGAAATGAGATCCCTTTTTCTAGATCCTCTTCTGAATCAGACAGAAGAGGCAGCTCCCTGTTAATGTGCTGCTGTAATCATTTTTGGATGACATTCATCAAAATTATATTTACCTGTGGCATTAATGATATTGTTCCATAATTTGAGCATGCCGTTTGGTCACCTCACTTTGGAATAGATACAGATATGGATCGCTTAGAAACAGTTAGCCAAGTAGCTGTCTTTCAAATCTCCTGACATAGATGAGTGAGTGAGCGTTTTACCTCCCACAAAAAAAAAAAAGACGAAGTACAAAGTTGTTAGACAAGCATATAAAGCCTTTCATTGTTTAATTCCTTTTGCTCATTAAGGCTCTAGGTTTCAGCCAAAAGACTGTACAGAGGTTTCTGAGCCTGAGCTCTTCACAGGCCCAAGTTTTTGGTGTTTTTTTGCAAATAGGATTTCCTTTAAGTGGAATGCGCTTCTCTTATGGTTTTACCTCAGATTTAACCTTTGCTATTTTCTCCTCTCTAATAGAGTCCCCGACAATTCTTTTTGTCACCGCTCCCTCCCCCAGTAACCATTCTATTGTATTGTAATGATTTAGTTTTTGTATGCGTTTACTCCTGAATTGCGTTTCTAGAGCACAGTGACATTCATCTTGGCCTCTACTGGAATCTGGCACAGCTGTGACAGAGCGGTGCCTGGCACATAGCAACATGTGTTTAGGGGATGAATGAATGAATGGCCTTAGAACCCACACCACAACTCCTGCAGAGGTTTTTACTTATCCTGCCTAGTGGCAAATACTGCTTTCCCCCCAAAAATCATTGAAGTATAGAGATATCATTTATCTGAGATCAAATATTCCATCACTTAGACTGAGTTGTAAGTTGCATAGGAGCATTAGTGGTGGAACTGGTAAAGGTGCCCAAATTATACCAATGACTCTCCTGTCCAGCACCCCTCGCTGCTGCTTTAAGGAAAGTGGGGTTATGAAATTTATTTGCACTGAGATTTGATATATGAGAATGAAATATATATATATATATATATATATATATAGTCAAAGATTTTTAATTAATTGATGCTTGCAGCTGTTTTTTAGTAAGTAGTTTATCCTTTTAAGGAAATTTATCTCTATTCCTGTTTCCCTTTTCAATTTTTCATATGAGCAGCAGTTTGAATTTTATTAAAATTCCTTTGTGGAATTTCCTAATATGATGGGTTTCCTTCTTTCAGTGATGATATAATAAGTCAGACTGATTTATTTTCAGATATTGAACTATTTTTATATTCCTGTGCCATCCCTTCTTTAGGCAAAGACAGTATTTGTATGATGATAATGTATTATGTTTGCTAGCATTTCATCTATATACTTGCAATTTTATTAGTAGAATTAATGGGTGTATCTCTTGTTTACAAATAATAGTGAGTGATGTAAATTGTATTATGTTTTATTTATAAGTATTTTAACATTTTATTGTGAGTTGGGTGAAGGCTCATGGAGAAAATTGGTTTTCCATTAACCAGTTCATACACATTTTGTTTCATGTAGATTGCAATCCCCACAATGTAACATCTGTCATCTTACTTCTTCCCTATATTTTCACTTTTTCATTCCTCCAACTTTCCTATGCCTCCTTGCCTTCTGAAGTTTGTCCTTGCACAAATATTTACTTTTTAATCTCAAATGGTTGAGTCTTCTAAAGAATTTGTATGTCTTGAATGTTACTGTTCATCTGACAGACATGACTATTGTTGGGAAGAACATTGAGCCACAGGGGTGAGTTCAGTTCCAGGATGAATAGGTAACTCAAGTCCAGAGTGTCAGGGCTTCTACCAGTCTATATCTGACAGTGAACAGAGCCTATTCTATGATTTTGAGTTTTCTTCCACATATTTCTTCCACTGTATCTAGGACCTTCAAACCTGATCCCTTTCAGAGCAATCAGTAGAGATAACCAGGCACCCTCTAGCTCTGGTCTCAGAGTCATGGAAGCTGAGATTTGCATGATTTACGACTCATTTGGACTAATTGTTTCCATACGTCTTGGATTTCCTTCACTCTTTTTTTCCTCTGGACAAGGAGACACCAGTAGTTGCACCTTAAGTGACCACTCTCAAGCTTTTAAGACCCCAGTCACTACTCATCAAAGTGAGGTTTCGAACATTGTCTCTGTGGGCTATCTTATACCAATTGACCTTGGTGTCCTTTGAGATTATGATTATGAGCTCCCAGGCCCACTACCTCATGCCTTCAAGGCATTTGGTTATGGCAAGACGTTTATCTAACATTGCCTGTGTATGCTGTACTCATGGATATGTGCAGCACTGTTAATAGACTTCATTTTGTTTTAGAAATCATTTTAAATAAACCGTGAATCAAATTCCCCAGAGTTTAATTTCCTTAACTTTGGAAGTGTTGGCAGTTCTGCTGACTCTGGTATCATGCTAGCAAACATTTATTAACAGCTTACTTTATGCCAATTAATCTTTTAACTACTTTATGTATGTGAGCTCATTTCTAGCCCATGACATCTTTATGAGGTAGAAATTGCTATTATCCCCATCTTGCTGCTGAGAAACTGAGACAGAGAAGGGATGTGTTCACATAAATGGTAAGTTAAAGAATCAGAATTTGAATTCAGGAATCATGACTTCCTGCACTTGTTTTTCACCATTATGCTATGTTGTCGAGAAGATAATCAAGGGAAAACCAACTTCCAGAAACGATTTGTTCAAAGAAAGCATCTGACATAAACATTGTTAATAACTTATGATTAAACATTGTTAAGTTTACAGGAGAGATGCCATTACTGTATGTCCCCTATCAATACATAAGAATTAGAGAATAATGATATTTATTTTTTAAGAAATGAATTTTTACTTTGAAAAATATTGTAAAAAATACCCCTTTCTTCATTTCTTTCAGCAATCTTGACACAGAAGAACTATGTGGTAAGTTACTTTTAAGACTAAACTCATTTCTTATTTTAGAGTGAAAAATACTGTTTGGTATATCTCTGCATACTATTGAACGAGTGCCATAGATTAGGAATTCTGGAATGAAGTAAAAGATAAATTGAGGTCTCAAGCGACTTATCTCTATCGGTATATTTTATACAAGTGTTATTCCATTGCTTTGCTGGGGAAAGAGTTTGGCCTCATTAATTTGTGCATGGGAGGAAATTTGTTATTGAAATGGGTACATTAGTTTCACAAGAGCAAACTCTCATTTGGATGTATTTTTAAATCAGTGTTTAATACAACTTTATTATTCTCTTCGTAATGTATTGTGCAGCACCTTTTGTTACTGTTTGGCAAAGCTGTCTCCTTGAGATGTAAAAATAGCTTTGTTCCACACCTACCCACACCATTCTGGAGTTTTAAATGTCACATGCGAAACACGTGATGTGATGAGAAAAGATACATTTGATCAAATCTTTATTTGATGTGAAGATAAATGCGTGGTTTGATGACCCTTTAATTGATTTGCTAGAAACAAAATCAGAGACTGGAATGTGAAGGCGTGGATATTTCTGAAATGCATATTTTGGAGAATTATGCGACCATTCAAACTGTGAAATAGCCATGTTTCTCTGAGTATTAGACAGATAGAGATAGACAGTTAGCTGTCCTCAAACTGACTTGAACTCATAGTGACCTTATTACAGCAGAACAAAATTTTGCCAAATCCTGCATTCGCTCCATGATCACCGACAAGTTTAAATCCATCCTTGCAACTCTTGTGCCAATGTATCTCATCTAGCGTCTCCCTTACCCTGGCTGGCCTTCTTGTTCCTTAAGCGTAATGTCTTCCTCCAGCAATTGATCCCTCCTGCTGACATGTTCCAACCAAGCAAGTTGGACAATAGGCTGTTGGGACCCAAAGGGTTTTCACTGATTAGTCTTCAGAAGTAGACGGCCAAGCCTTTCTTCCTAGCTAGACGCTCTGCCGAAGCCTGCTGGCCGTGAATGAGCTGACTGATATTGACATACTCGTTACACAACTTCCAACATCACAGCACCACCACGCCCACACTGAATGATCACTGACAGATACGTGGTGACTCTGGACGTGTTCAGCTTTATGTTTTAAAGTAAACATATAAGGTGTACATTTGACCTGATTGTCTAAGCTGCTTGAAATAATGGATAACTAGAGACGAGATTCTCTGAAACCTCCTCACCAAAGCCACAGCTTACGTTGTATACCGTATCATTCTTACAGAGTTCTGGCTTATTAGAATCACCAAAAAAGGTCATTTTATAATATTATAGAATAGCTGTCTTCCATTTTATCAGAATGGTAGAGCAACACCAAGAGATGGCATATAAGACAAAAATATCTGAATGCAGGGTTTCAAGGCAAAAACTGGGAACAAAACTAGTATGATCATCATCAGCCATGAGCCATTAGACCAGTGGTTCTCAACCTGTGGGTCACAACCCCTTTGGGGGGTCAAATGACCCTTTCACAGGGGTTTCCTTATTCATAACAGTAGCAAAATTACAGTGATGAAGTAGCAACAAAAATGATTTTATGGTTGGGGTCACCACAACATGAGGAACTGTATGAAAGGGTCATGGCATTAGGAAGGCTGAGAACCACTGCTTTAGATGTTTCATGATCATAAACTATTCCTATACTCCTGTATCCATGCAATGTCTAGGCCAGGCTCTAGAAGAATTCTACTTAAAAAATCAGATTGTTGTTGTTGTTGTTAATGCAGAAGCAACGTGTTTTGGAACTGAAGCAGATCATTCTTTCGTTAGTTAGGAAACATCAGCACAGAACAACATGTGAAATTCTGATGTGCTTTTGTAGACACTCAGACTACAACATTGTCTACACATGGTATTCAACTGTCCTAAAGAGCTCTAGTGGTACTGTCTGGCAAGCACTGGACTGCTAACTGCAAGTTCAAGGGTTCAACCCCCCAATTGTTCCTTGGGAGAAAGATGAGACTATCTGCTTTCATGAAGATTTACTGCTTTGGAAACTCTCTCTATAGGGTCACGATGAGCCCGAGTTAGCATCAACTCAAAGGGGAAAGGTTTGGAAGGAGCCAGAGGAACCCTACTGGTGTAGTGGTTAAAGTACTCAGCTGCTCACGAAAAGGTCAGGGTGGTAGTTTAAATGCACCATCCACTTTGCTGGATTTGGTTCTCTCCTGTAAAGATTCCCAGCATGGGGAACTCTACGGGGCAGTTTGACTCTGTCTGACGGTTTGCTATGAATCAGAATCAACTCAAAATCAGGGACATTGATGGTGTTAGAAAAGCTCACAGACTGTGTCCACCAGCTTCTGTGATGAATAGCAGTCAGCCTAAAGTTCGGTTACAGACCGCTCTCAAGCCTCCGTGGTCAGGCAGCCCCAGCCATTGCAGTGGAGAGGTCCAGGGGAGACTTGAGGGTGTCATTTGGATAAATATGTGACAGATAAATTCTACTTGTCTCGAAAGGGTAGATATCTCCTTTCAAAGTAATTGTTTCCTCAATTTACCCAGAGAATTCTTTTTGTTCTCTGTGGAACCTTCCTTGGGTAGGCATGGCTCCTGAGAAAGCACTCTGTTGTCAGTGCTTTTACCATCAAGCCATTTAGGTCTCCTTGATTTGCTCCTGTTCTTAAGGAATGTTAAGGTCCATCGATGGCACAGGTGGTTTGTGATCCTTTGGTCACCTAGAGGTTGCTTGTTTGAATCCACCTAGCTGTTCTGCCGAAGAGATGGCTGGCAAACTGCTTTGGTAAAGTTTACCTGTGATTCATTAAAATTACCCAGAAATCCCTGTGGAGCAATTCTAGCGTGTAACTTTTGGCTGTAACTCATGTTACAGCCATGAATCAGAAGTGATTTGATGATCGTGGTTTGTTTTTTGTTGTGTTAAGGAATCACATAATATCTTCTATTCTTCCTTTAAAAGTATTTTGAATGTTGAAGTGTAATAACATATCTCCACTGGATCTTCAACAATAATGTTTTAACATGTCTTCCTTACATAATAGGGGAAATAGATTAGAAACCCACACTTCAATGGAAAAAATTTTGACTTTGAAGTCCCCCCCCCACCATACTTCGAATTTGAAAGTCAAAACCCAAGTAAAGGCACTGCCACTGAGCCTATTCCAACAGACGGAGCAGGGCTGTCCTGAGGGAACGAGTACTGGGGGCTGTAATTCCAGGTGACATTGTTTTTAAGTCGGTGATTGTATTCTCAATCATGTTTTCATAATCTTCACCCTCTCTGGTCAATGATCTGCATTTTCGTTTCCAGAGGGTTGTTTCATTTCTCATTATTTTGTGACTCTAAAGTAAATATTTAATTGGGTTCTAAGTCATGCCAAATGCTCCACTGCTAGCAAGTGAGTGCGTCTGTTTGCACCTAGTGCACGTTCCGTCTCTCGAGCTTGGTTGGAGGGAAAACAGATTTTCTCATTCCATGTACTCTTCAGGAGAAGCCAATTAACAGTTTGTAACATCTAAAAGGTTCATTCTGTTGCTTTTATTTAGTTCATTAGTTTATTAGACCTCAAAATCATTCCACATGGAAGATTATTATTTTTAATATTCCGTTTCATTTAGGAAAGTAGTACTTACCTATTGTTATTTTTTAATGTCAACAGTATGGAAATATGTGGACACATAAGGGAAAATATCAAAGTCTCTCATTCACCCCTCTCCCAGCCATCTTGGTCTCCACTGGGAACTGCTTGGAACATACTCTTCCAGAAATCTTTGTTAATATGTTTGTGTATTCCTGCATTTTTCCAACAATGAAGTCATATTAGTTCATGTAGCTGCTAGTGTTATAAAAAGGCTGTCTAGTTTTCCTTTACCTTAATTTAGTCTATGCCTTAATTTATAACTAAGTCCTTTTTAATTGCCATTCATCTTGTTTCCAACTTTCCATTAGGGATAAACAGGAAGTAAATGACCTTGTAGGTATCATCCATGGGATTTTGTACAAATATTTCTGTAGGATAGATTCCTCAAAGAGTAATCACTGGGTCAGAAGTTGTTTCAATGTGCACAGGAGGGCCGAGCTTCTTCGCTGCCCACTTAGAATTGTGAAGGCCTTCCTCCATAGCAGTATCACACCCTATTTTATTCCTACGGGTCATTATATAACTCAATTGTAACCGATTGTGTTTGAACTCTGGCACAGAAGTTCTAGTGTTAGATATGTGCCATCGTCCGCTCTAACCCACTGGAACATAATTATTGCTTTCCTGACCCGACTTGTTATTATGCTGAGGTGCCATGTAGTTGGGTCCAGCTCATAATGACCCTGTGTAGACCAGGACAGAACAGTATGCAGCTTGGTCCTCCGCCATCCTCCCCACTGGTGCTATGTCTCAGCCCACTGCTGCAGCCAAGATGTCAATCCACCTTATGGATCGTCTTCCTCATTTTCTTTGACACTACTTTACCAAACACAATTTCCTTTTCCAGGGATTAGTCTTTCCAGGTAACTTGTCTAAAATCTAAAATGTGATGAAATCTTGCCATCCTTGCTTCTAAAGAGCATTCTGGCTAAACTTCCTTGGGCAAGACAGATTGGTAAATATTTGAAGTATAGAAAACTCTCCAGGGAGACGGGTTATATTAGCTCCTTGTAAGGTTTCTTTGAGCACTTTTGGTCAGACTGCTGGGCAGCACTAGCTTGGATTGCCAGAGCCTGGTCAGTGTTGAGGGAAAAGTGTGGATACTAGAAAGTCAAGACTCTACTATCCTTGTCCAGGCAGTTGGAACTGTGGATACCTGGCATATGTCCCCTAGTGACTGCATTGCAATACAATTTAAGTAGCACTGATCTACATCTCCTTAATTAACCTATGTTCTTAGATTAATAACCAATGCCCTTCTTCAGAGCACGAGTGTTCTAACTTGTCCTTCTTAGTTATTTAGGTTCCTGTTTAGAACACTGGGGAATTCTAGTAAGGAGTACATGCTGT